CATATTGGGTCCAGAGATTGGAGAGCCTGCCGTTTTGACAAATCAAGCTTTTTATTCCTCTAAATTAGATATATTTTCCCCACAATACTTTAATATTCATATGTACATAATTTAAAAAAGGGGCAATCCGGCTCAACTAATTGACCACACTTTCCTTTTTTTTTTTTCTAATTCAATATTTTGCTAAAAAAGGTAAGATCTATATTTAAAAACAAAAATAACTCGGCTCAACCTAATATTAAATTAATCATAAATTGAGTTAGACTTCAATTACCATAAACTTGATGATTAAAATAAAACTACGCTTCACCAACTAATTAAAGTTAATGTTTAGTTAACTTAATTGATCTCTTCAATATTTCTTTCACTCTTGAACTAACTTGTATAGCATGCACTCTTACTGGTCATTTCTATCCACACAGATAGTTGATAAATCTCAATCCAATAAAGAAAAAGGTATCATTACACGTGATAAGAACTAGAAAAATTTAGTATAAAAATAAATAAATAAATAAATTAGCACATCAAAATCAAAACAATAAATAAATACGGTGATTGAACCGAAACTTTAAAGTGTTTGTTCCACGTTGGTGTCAAATTGATGTAGCACTGTAAACAATGTAACCCGTTTGAGTGAAGTACACTACCCAATCTCGTGAACCGTCCATAAAGGATTTGAAATTTGAAATTTGAAATTTCTCACAAAGATGTCATTTTTAAGATGACGAAGAAATGAAAAATAATGTCACTTCCGTATTACAGAATCAAAAGCATGGTGATATTAATATTGAAAATGATATATATGAATAATTCTATGACCTTTCGCAAAGTTCAAGTGCCACATTATAAAAAAGAAAACACCACCCAACAATAATAGTTTCGTCCATTCAATTATGGTCGTCCCGAAACTGGTCCCAATGAATTAAGTCGGAATCAACGCCCACAAGAATATTAATAAATTTACATAAAAATATTAGAAAGATACATGATAGTTTAATTAATTAGCCGTGTATTGTATGTGTAACTCTATGTATAAAACTTGTTCATAAATTTTTTAGTTTGTACACCCATTACTAATTTGTATGTTATTTTATTAATAAAACACTCTGTATGCAAAAGGGTCCACTTTTGCAGAATTATTTAGAGTCTTAAGTATCAAAATACTATATTAATAACAGTTAAGTTTTCAACAAATTTTTTTTAAAAATTAGTTAAAAATATCAATTTAATTAAACAATTACACATTAAGGAGTTTGTAGGAAAAACATTTAAATTTTAAACGTAACTTTTAAAATATATATGAGATTCTTGTTTGTAAGTATTTAAATTGATATTAATAACTTATTTTTTAAAAAAAGATTTGTTGATAATTTAATTATCATTAATTGAATATTTAAAACTTAATCGTCATTCTCCCATTTATTTTTAAGTGCATAACCAACATTAAGGAAGTTGATATATGAAATAATATGGTACAATTATTATGTTACTATTTCCTAATGTTAGGAATGGGTAGGCAATCTCATTTTGGACTTTACACATGCACGCAATACATGTTTAGATCTCAGTCGAGATCTACGACTTGTTAGAAATAAAAATAATTACCTTAAAATGAGAGGAGAGATCAGATGGGCAAGAATAATGAAAAAACACTACATATTAACTCAAACTCTAAAAATGCAAGTTTATGGGTTATTCTCTTTCATGGTGTATCAATTATTAAGCTAATTTTATTTGATGTATGACTTCTTACATCAGTTCAAGTCCGTTCATACATGGATAATCCAACATTTAATTAAAAAAATATTTATATAAAGTATAACTTAGATTTGAGTCTTTAATATTCCCTCTGATTCTAATTATAAATAACTTTTTCACTATGTTTTATTAGAATAAAGAAAAAATTTAAATTTTATTAATTTTATCTTAAAATTTAATAAGTTTTACCTTTATATCTTAATAAAGACAAATAGGATGAAGTGTTTTGTAAATAGGATCAAAATTAATTTTTTTCTTTTTTACTTTATAAATAGGATTGGAGGAGTATATGAAATTACGATTGCCCTCACATCATTATTTACAATGAGGTTGTCACATTAATTGCGGAATTTAAACTATCACTTCTATAGAGTATGAATCATCTTTTCCAATTAGATTAGCCTTGATTTACTTATTATTGTTTGACTACTAACATTATTTGCATATGATTTAAACTAAAATTAAGGTGAAAGATATTATAAGGAAGGTGCTGAAATAATTGAAGACTTGAATATGTGTGCGTGTGTGTGTGGAAACTTGAATTGAAAAGGAGGTAGCGTAGAGAGTGTTTGGAGGAAAAGAAAAATGGATGGGTGGCAGAAGGCAGATACATGACGTTTCTAGTTGTCTGCTTTCAATTCATATATCTGTTTCCTCCATCATTCAAGAAACCATATCACTGATGTGGACTCCATTATTTATTCATTCTTATATCACCACACTCATACTTGTCGGCTCCAAAAACTCTGTCTCATATCTATCCTTTTGATTTTTTTCAATCGTACTTTTTTTTTCTTGCTAATCTATAAAATGGAAATTTTTAATCAGATTGCCCACCAATTTTGATGGTCCACATTATATGATGCTGATTTTCGTGGGATTACATCTTTTCCTTTCCTTTCTTTTCTCTCAATCTCCTCTGAACCACTCACACTACCTTCAACTTTCGTGTCTTCCGTTGCGTGTGCTCATAACTTTTCTCTTCCTTCTTTCAGTGTATGTGGGATTCCATACTCAGTATCTTGAACCAGTGCCATGTCGAGCCGAGAAGACTTAACAAGAATTTAGACTAATTTAGACGGGATGAGATTTTTATGAATAAATACTCTACCAGCAACGGTGTTACATTTTCAAGATTAGAACTTGCAGTTGGTCAAAAGAAAAAAAGATTAGAACTTGTAACCTTTAATTAAGCTGGCACGATGTTCTTACTAATTGAAACTAGATATCCGGTGGTTCTCTTGTTTTGTTCTAAATTCACACTCTAGTTTTGTGTGTTGAATATTCATTAGGGTGTGTGATTGCAGAAAGTAATGGAAGCCCAGATATTACGGCACAATTACAGGCACAATTACAAGCACATATTAGTTGGTGTATTGTGTTGTCGATGATCAAAGACTTTACTTCTGGCCATGAAACAAGTTTCTTGTAGCAGATTAGTCAGAGGTAAGACTATTTGAAGTTGCGTATTTTACTGTTACAGATATTTGTCGATCTGTAAATCAGCAATCCTATTTGGTCAGCACAGCTTAGCTTCTGACAGATAGTTCCTGCCAAACTACCACAGTTGTCGTGGTAGCTTCTTTTGTGTCTGTCTTGTGTTTTGTTGTACGGTACAATTGTTGGCGCAAGTAATGTTTAAGATCAGATCAAGTTCTGTCATGTTTCTACTGCTTTTGCTTTCCAAATAAAATAAAATAAAATTTTAAAATATCGTACCCATTATTTACTTTGTTTGGCGCGCCAGCACCGGTAAGAAATCAGTTCATGTCCAAAACTAGACATCTGGAATATATGTAAATGTATAGATTTTGGCTCAATTACATTTCTTATGTTCATTGCAATTTGTAACCATCAGGGCAAAAAAAGCAAGTTTTTCAACCTGATTGGACCTTCCGCCATCGCTCTCTTTGCTTTGCGGGACAAATAAGAGTGATTTTGATTTGCTGAGTGAGATGAGTTCGTTACAAGTTTCGCTTCATTGGATCCGCGTTTCTTCCTTTCTTCCTTTCTTTTGGGCTTTCGGCAACGCACAAGATAATAATTTAGAAACATTTCATATTAAAAAACCCTCCTTTATAGGATTAATACAGAAGCGCTTATAATGCAATTCTGTATAATTTGTATGCTTTTTTTTTTTTTTGGCCTTTGGGACATTTGTATGGGTTATTAATTTGTACTTCCTCCTAGTAAAAGCTAATTAACTAATTTATACAGGTTAATGGAATTAAATAAGTTAGTTATTTATTTATAAAAAATGTGTCATTTTTATTAAATGCTCCTCCTTTTAATCATTTACATTAAAGAATAATCAACATAGCTTAGGTGTCATACCATAATCTAATGAATTAAGGGTCAATTTTATTCCTAAACCGTATACGAAAGGTTGTAAATGTTCTTAAATTTAACTATGAGTTAATTTTATTTCTCGACTCTAAAAACTTTTTTTGTTATTATCATCATAACATTAAAAACACTTAACCCCATTATTTATCAATGAATCCCACTATTTTTTTAATATTTTTATTAGGTTAAGAATCATTTTTACTTCACAACTTTCATTTAAAAGGTCATTTTTACATCTTTATTCAAATATTTACAATAAAAATATTAAAAAAAATAATGTGAGACCCACTAATAGTAAGAAAACAACTAAGGTATGATGGAATGAATTTTTAAAATTGAAAAATAAAATTAACCCATAATTAAATTTAGGTACGTTTGTGATCTTTCATGTATAATTTAGAGACAAAAATAACTCTTAACCCTAATCTAATTATAGGAATGACTTAGAAGAAAAATAGTAAATGAGATAAAAGGAGATTGAAATTTTATATTTAAAACTAAAACAAACCCCCAGGTAACTCCCGCATTTAGAAGAGAGGGACTATATTGATAGAATAAGGTTGATAATTTGCTCTAAATAACTCCAAAATACTAGAGAGAAGAATACTGGGAAAAAACTCCAAAAAATGGAAAACTTTTTTTTTATTATTGTTTTTAAAAATTTCTAATATTCTCTCATCCTCATTTTCCCTCCTACCCAAACAAGAATAAGAGATTGGGACTGTGCATTTTCACCAGGCTCCATGAAATACTACAGAACACAGGAAAGGCATTCGACAATATCGTGCTGATTTGAGCTATTAAAGCGAAATCTTTCGTGGTGAAATCAATCATGTCTTGTCGTGTAAACTGGTCTTGTAAACAGTTGGATATACTCACAATCACAAAGGATAAGATCACGAGAAAAACTCATAATTGGTTCAATTAGGTGACACTCTAGATTTGAGTTAGAGTCGGGCGAATTAAACGCGCCATTTGTAACTCAGACAAATACAATGGAGAGAATCAGGTAAAATCTTGCACGCTGCCAGATCTATCTTGGGCTACACTTTCTTTCTACAGTTGCCAGATTATGACTTTGAACGCACTCAATTCATTCACTTCGTATGCCAAACTATCTGCCTCACCACCTTGTGAAGGACAAATCTTATGCCCTTATGACAAGGTTGTGGAATTCCATAACACACAGCAGTCATTATCATGCAATAAGTTTTCAAGACAATGATAATAGACAAGTCGCATGTGTAGTGTCAAGCTTAACCAGAGGACTAGGCATCAAAATCTAGTGTTCATCGAACTTAATATGGATTTCACTCATCTGTGCTTGATGCTTCCTAACCTGCAGATCAAGGAAGTGCTCAACACACTGCTTTTATTTAAAGCTCTAATCTACATTGACCAGGAACATGAAATCTACACAAGGAACTATATAAAGAAGGCAGTTACATATAGTTTTGAACAGTGATAATCCTCAAGGTCAGCTGAAATGAGCAAAGCCATTTTACAGAATTCTACCAAAAATTTGGAAGCTTACTTTTACACCAGCCAGTGTAAGTAGCTTGTGAGAGGCGACATATGCAGCATCTGAATTTTCGAATCTCTTCTCCACGAAATAAATAACTTCAGAAACTCCCGACTGGGAGAAGGAATTTAGACATATTATGCATAACGGAATAGCTTACAAGTAATAAGAGGGAAAATGTAAAAATTGGACGTTAGGAATGCAGGAGTTTTCCATTTCATTTATTGTCATTTTAGACAGATTGACCTGCAGATCAATGAGAAACTAATTCCACCAGAAACTCATAAAATTGGCCTCGGCTCATCTTTAAATCCCATTTCTATGTTAAAGCTGAAGAATCTTGATAGAGTTTCGAGATAATAGATGATCTAGGAATAGAGATATTATGAATAAATACTATTGTCAATTTATTTTAGATATTTTCTATTTAACAATACTGTTTAGATTTTATTTAGGTATTTAGTTATCTAAATTTTATGTAGATATTTAGACATTTATTCAGATATCTAGTTCTTTAGATTTTATTCAATTTTATTTAATTATCTAATTGTATAGATTTTATTCAATATTTTAAATTGTATTTAGCATTATAAATAAGCTTAGCAACTTAAAAGCAGACATGCCATGAATAAAATAGACTTTTGAAGCTTTTGACCCTTTGAAGATTCTCTTAAGCATGAATATTGAGAGAATTATAAAATAAGATTCTTTTTCTATATTATCTTGATAGATTTATTCTTTTTATTTCCTTCTATCAATTCTATATTTTCTTATTAATGTTATGAAGTTAGATTCTAATTTCATATGCTAATATAGATTTATCTTTCTTATTTCTCTCTACCTATCTTGAATCCTATCATTTGGCATCAGAGCCATTCAATCCAAAGATGGTACCTACTTATTCCACAAGCCTTTTTCACAAACTCACATTTTCACCATCCATCTTCTAGAATACATTTTCCCAAGTCTGATGGTAGAGATCTACAACCATGGATTTTAGAGGCAAAAAATTATTTTCGATACTATTACACTTTTGAAGACTTCAAATTTTCGATACTATCACACTTTTGAAGACTTCAAAGTTGATAATGCATTGAGGCATTTAGAGGAAGACGCTTGTGATTTCTTCACTTCTATTAACATGGAACGTACGATCCTCTATTAGAAAGAATTAGTAGAGGTATTACTAGAAAATTATGAGTCTTTGGAATATCAGAACCTAGATGAGTTCTTATGTAGCATCAAACAAACTGGCTCCGTGCAGGAGTATTGTTTGGAATTTGTTAGGCACTCTGCTCATGTGAAGAATTGGCCGGAACATTGCCTCTTGGGAGTCTTCATCAAAGGCCTTAAGAAAAAGCTCAAATCTGATGTCCGAATTTATAAACCTAAGACAGTTTACAGGCTGCTAGTTTGGCCCTTGAATTTAAGTTAAAAGCCCAAAACTCTTACGGCCTCAAAACTGCCCAGCCTTTGTTTCCCTCAGTCCCTTATCAAATAGCACATGACTTCAAAGAGACATCAGCATTGACTTCAAACTCCCTTCGGCAAGAAACTTCAACCTCATTTCCTCACAACCCAGCATCTAGATTGGCTTCCATGGAAGCCAAACAGCAGCAACAACAAGAGATGGGACTGTGTTTCAGCTGTAGTGAGACTATCAAACCTGGGCATTGCTGCAAGGGATCTTTTTCGGTGCTGGAAATTACAGAGGAGGGCAAAGAAATTGTTCCTTCCCTTGAAGAGGACAAAACTATGGAGATGGAACCTAGTAGGGTTGAAATTTCCCTCAATGCTATTCTGGATAGCAACAACAGACCTAGTATGAAGCTTTAAAGGAGCTTCTTTGGTTGCCAGGTCCTTAACTTGGTGAATAGTTGGTCTAACTGCAATTTTATCATTGAAGTTCCCATGCAGCCTCTTGTTCGACCTTTTGGTATCCACATTGGAGATGCTGCTACTTATCTATCACTCCCATCTTAACCTCCAGTTATAAAAGAAAGCTATTGCCTATGTCTCGCCTTGAGAACAAGGTGAATCTCAAGGAGGGAGTATTGATAGAGTTTCGAGATAATGGATGATTTGGGAAGAGATATTATGAACAAATACTATTGTTAACTTATTTATTTTAGATATTTTCTATTTAATAATATTGTTTAGATTTTATTTAGTTATCCAAATTTTATTTAGATATTTAGATATTTATTCAAATATCTAGTTGTTTAAATTTTATTCAGATATTTAGTTCTTTAAATTTTATTCATTATTTTATATAGATATAGATTCTAGAAGATTTTATTCAATTTTATTTAATTATCTAATTATCTAGATTTTATTCATTATTTTAGATTATATTTAACATCATAAATATACTTAGCAACTCAAAAGCAGGCATATCGTGAATAAAAAAGACTTTTGAGCCTTTGGAGATTCTCCTAAGTGTGGCTATTGAGAGAATTATAAAACAATATTCTTGTTCTATATCATCTTGATAGATTTATTATTTTTATTTCTTTCTATCAATTCTATGCTCTCTTATTAATATTATGAAGTTAGATTTCGATTTCATATGTTAATAGAGATTTATCTTCCTTCTTTATCTCTACCTATCTTGAATCCTATCAAATCTTCAAAGTGACTATCAATCACAACTGGATAAAATTTTCCAATTCAGCTAACGCAATGCATTGTTAGCTTGATCACATGGGTAAAGCATTACCTCAGACTGCCATCCAACTTGTCCGCTCTTCCCCCGTAAGTTACATTCCACAGCAGGATTGATCAAAGACAAAAATTGGATTTTTCACTAGATCAAATTGATCCAGCATCTAAAAAGGTCTTAGAGGAGAAAGAAATAGCCAAAAGGAGGAGATCTATTCTAATTTACTAGCAAACAGAGGCAGGAGGAATAAGTGCTATTGCTGCATTTTCATTAACTTTTAGATGGGGGTTGAAACTAAAAACAAAACAAAAGACGTCATCAGCAAAAGAGTTCATTATGCGCCACAAGGAACAAGGCCACCAACCTGGATTATAATCTTAGCACATTCATTGCAAGGAAACATGGTCACATATAGGCGCTGCAAGGATTCAACAAGAAAAACTAAAGTGTGAGTTCTCTAAGCACAGGTGGTAAAGGATCCAGAGCAATGCTAATGAAGAAATTTCCTTATGTGCTAATCAGTGTAAGCATTTCCCGTGTGTGTTAACGTAGTCCAAGCAAAGGTTAAGGAATGAAAGAACAAAGAAAACAAAAGCAAAGTAATTTCTGCAAGCTGATACGTACAATCAAATAAGACACAAAATATAAAGAACTGAGAGTTCAGTTGAGCATACCTGTCCAGCAGCAGAGGCATGATTCGTGTTAAGGATAGCATTTACTTCTGCATGACAAACATAACTACAATGGAGATATTGAAATTTAGCGAGATTTGATGAGCAGTGTGATGAGATCTAAATAGATAAGAATTAAAGTAAAGCAAGGAAATCATAAATTGAATATATCATTAAATGGTTGTAGCATGAACAATATTAAACCACATACAGGATTCAAGACAAAATGCATCCTATTCTAAACAATGTATTTTTAAGCAGATTTCTGAGTATAATGAAGGCTGCAATCAGATTAAAAATTTGAAAGCAAAAGACTCACGGGTACTTTGTCTCCAAAGGATTCCCAGTCCTGGATTTCTGAAACATGGAGATTTTTTCAGTCTTATTATATACTTGAAAATTTTCAGCAATTTTTTCGTTCATTCTTTTTTCCCTTATACCTACCTTTGCCCAAGGCAGCTTGTCATCTGAACAACCTCTTGGAAATCCGTTGTAGCCAATCCCTGACACAAAGATAGCAAAGTAGGCCTCAAGCATGAATAATTTAGTTGGCATTTGACATCTAAATTCACAATATTTAATAAAAATGATTTATTAGCAGATAAGAGGAAATAAATTCTCATCTTAGCTGCAATATATTTAGTTACGGAAAAATTGGAGTAGATAGTACTAGATAGTAATATTATTTCCTGCAACTCAGACTGTCTACTCAGAAATCAGAATAAAGGTGGATTTTTAGCACAATCATTAGTTTCTGTTAGCTATATTTCAATGAAACATCTTTATTCATCAGTCCTGATTTTCAGACTTGCGAAAAAAATGAACTACTTTTCTACTGTTACTCTGTCTTTAAGGATGAAGGAATGGATACCAAGTATTTGATAGCTGAACCGGATGAACTTACCAAGAATTATACCCTCTCGACTCACCAAGCATGCCCCCACCTACAGGATCATTGCATAGACAAGCCCTCATCAATCAGTTTTAACCCGCCAAATAAATTTGAATACTTGTGCCGTCTTACTGCATTTGTGGCATAAATTACTCCGAAATTAAAGAGTATCATTTACTAATGCCAAGAGTCGCAATATGACCTGTCTGTTCGGATCTTTTGATCTTTCAGCTGACAAAAAAGCAATGGCCATGAAGTAATCATCCCAGGACAAGTATCTGCCATCAACAACCGATCAAAAAAGAAAATTTACCCATCAACACTAAAAGGGATCTTAGTTCAAAAGAACTAACAAGACTACAATAATTTCAGTAAGTGAAAAACCATTAAAGCCTGCTAGTCAATTCAACACAATCACAAACCATTTCCAAGGGAATTACTGAAATTTTTTTATGAAAATGCAAGTTCAAAACAGCTAATAAGGCTACCATAACTTCAAAGAAGGGAAAGCCCTCAAACCCTACTAGGCAAAGCAAGCGAATTACTAACCCTTTGCGTTTGGAGGGATCGAAAGGGTCTCGGGTAGAGCAGTTCTTCAAAACTGTTCCGATTTGCGAAGAATTGGTCTTGGATTGATGCTGTTTCGGAAAGAAGAAGAAGCGGAAGGCAATTGCGGATGCCAGAACACCGAAAACGGCAGCGGAGGAGAGTGCAGCAACCTCGCGAGAGTTCATGGAGTTCAACTACAACCGCAGTGAACTAAGCCGTTTTCTGGGAAAGCTTTCAGTTTGATATTGCCACATCCAAGCGTATATTATCTACCAACGTTCACAGTCCACAATGAGCAAAAAAAAAAAAAAAAAAAAACGGACGCGGGAAATTGGAGATGAACAGACTGAGGAGGGGTGCTGTGGAAGCGCGCAGGAGAAGTACAACCAGCGTTGCCGCGTGCACGTGGTATTTTATTTCTTTAAAATGTTACTATCTGGCTTCATATAATTTGGAATTAAAAATACTCTTGTCCCTCGATTTTATTAAAAAAATATCTTTGGCCCCCCAAAAAAAAACTTTTATATAAAAAAATATCATTCAGCACCTTACAATCCTAATTCCCTCGCAGCAATTGCAATAACCTAAGGTGACATCAATTGTTGAAATTAGCATAGATTCTCAAGATCCTTAACTATAAATAACCTTGTGAAGAAAATGACTCACTTACTTCCTAGCATTTTCTTCTTTCGTTGACCAGATCCCTCCCACAAATCCCTCGTGTATAAGCTCCCCTCCACCACCTCTAGCATGGATGATGCAATTTTTCAAGAAAGGTTGACACATTGGGTAAACCATGAGAGAGTCAAGTCAAAAGGAATTTTGCAATGAGCAGTGAATTGAACCCTCAAGCGGGATGGAGAATGTAACATTTTAATTTTTAATCACCTGATTAATTAAACCTAATTAAAGTAATTAAGTAAGTTGAAGTGGTGTGTGGCTGGGGTGGTCTAATAAGCATATTTAATTGTATTTTAGCCCTATTTGTGGGTCCGGTGCCAAGGCGGGCCACCTAGGTATCAAATAGGAGAAGAAAAGGAAGAGTTGATGTTGTTGTGCCACACGCTGCAGCATAGAGATTGTCCACCACGGTGCATAGACACTTCTGATGTCAAGGAGGACCTCTCTGTGCCATGCGTCGCGGCGCATTGTGCGTCCGTTGCAGCGCATGGCCATTTTCTGTAATTTATCAGATACGAACCTGAGACAGAAAAGAGAGAAAAGAAAGAAGAGAACGAAGAGGACGCACCAAGCTCTGCAAGGGTTTGCTAGTAGACGACATTGAGAGTATTTTGGAGGGTACAAATACTCAAGATAAGTACCATACTCTTTAATCTCTTCACCTCTTCCACATTTATGAGTTTATGATTAGGGTTTGATAGTGAAAGTGAAATTTCGGTCCATATAGGTTATGAGTTTGAATTTATTGATTTAAATGAAGTTAATAGGAGTAGATTAGAGTATCAAAACCCAAGTATAATGAGTTTTGATGTTTTAGGTTGTTGGGCAACATAAATATTCAAATTTGCATTTAATATGGGTGGTTGGAAGATTGTGACATCATTAATGGGGATTTATGATTCATTAATGTTATTAGGGACTAAACATAATTAATAAATCCAAGGGATAGGCTCAAATACTTGTGAAGTGAATGTTGGACAATTTAGAAGTGGAAATTGAAGGTTTAAATACTTGAGTTGGTCATATTGATGAAATTCAACTTGGTTAATTGTAGTGTTTGGCTCTTGGTCACCTTTTGGATTGGAAATTCAAGTTTGAAAGCCAGTAGATTAAGGGGTAAACCTTTAACCTCTTAAAAGTTTGAGATAATTAAGAAAAACTCTACTTTAGGTAGTTATATGTTAATGAATTGTAAATTAAATTTTATTGTGAATGTGGAATGCATGGGTTGATTTTTAATGTGAAAAGCATGTGTTAGTTTTTACGAGCACATGAAAAAAAAATTGAATATGCATAAGGTTATTGTGGCTTGAAATGCAAAAGCCTAATTAAGATATTTTCAAATATGAACATGCATATGTCTTTAGAAAAATGAATGTGATGATTATGTGAGATAGACGTGTGTTAATGAGAAATGAATTTTGAGAAAATGATGAAAATACATACTTGGGTAGCGTATGGTCGTGAGCTCAATGTGATTATTGTGATAATGAGTAAACGAAAATGAAATTTTTAAAATAAGTGAGTATTAATTATGGCATAATTAGTGGCGGGAACTTGCTTAGGGAGTGGGAGTAGAGAAAAATCTATATGATATTTAGGCTGTTCTTTGATGCACGAGGATATAGCCTTGTCCCACAGTTTGTCAAGAGACTGTCCCATAATTTATTGAAGGACTAAAACCTAGTTATCTCCATTAGTTCAATGAGGAGAATAATTTAAAGTATGAGACACCCCAGAGATTCAAGAATGGGGGAAGCTGTGGTCTGAGCATGAGTTATGTGATCTTTGGTCAGATCACACCTCACGATTGGTGAGTTTGGGTAGTCCAGTCATACAAACGGAACCCTAATCAATGTTATAGCCCACAATTTCAATATGAGGAAATAAAGAGAAAATAAAGTTGGTTAATCATTACCTAAGTAAATATATGACGTGTCGCACGTGTTAAATTATGGCAAATCACGTGAATAATAGGTCATGGTCACATATATGAGAATATGGTGATAATGCACCTAATCTATGTGAGATAAAGAAGTTATTTAATAATAAATGACAAGTTATGATACATGTGAGCATGTTTTACATACTTGGTTCTTATGCATGTACTTATTTTATGATTGATATATAACTATATAGGGTAAGTTTTACCTTGATTATTGAGTGGTTAGACTCACCTCTTCCATTTAATACTTTTTAGACTCTAGCTCTGGTGCAGAGAGAGAGAAGGCTCAAGAGGTTATGAATTAGCATATTCCTTTTCGTATGCCTCTAGCTTAGTTTATTTTGTGTAATAGTATATGTTGGCTGATTTTAGGATGTATGTCTTCACACTTGCATTATTTTATTATTGCAAATATTAGACTTGTATTTTAGGCCCTGCGTCTTTATGTATGTTGATATATATATATATATATATTTATCAATAAGGTCAAAATACTAGTGCAAGTGTAGGAATAGACAATTGAGCATGTTTTGATTGTTTTGGGAGTAAAATAATGCCAATTTACCTCCCCTTTTATTTTTAGTAAAAAGGAATTGAGAAGTGAATTTCTGTTATACAATGATTCAATGTATGTGACGTGTTACACTGGTAGTCGTGAGTCCAATGAACATGGTTCAGGTGTTTGGAAAAGCTTTTGGCACATGTTGAGTGTTTTGGACACACATTTTGTGTGAAAGTTGTGAAAAATGGTTAAAATATGTTTGGATGTTCAACTTTCTAGTGTGACTTATTTTGAAAACGAAACCCGTGTCACTAGTTAGTTTATGTTAAAAGCCTTTTGTATACACCTAAATCATGTAACCAGATGTTGAATAAAGAATTGGGGCTTGTCGAAAGTTTCTCGATTCTGTTGTTAAATAATAGTAGAATCAATTAAAATTTCGTACAACATACATAGCATGGTGCCTGAGTTGCGGCGCGTGGCACAGTGAGCAACACACCACAGCGCATTGCCCTGTAACATATTACAAGTTTTGTTTTCAATAGTTTTTTACTCTTTTCACTCCTCTGAATTATCCCATACTTTTGAAACTTATTTTTACTCTGATATGAAAGATTTTAATTGATTTAAACTCATTGTTATTTAGAAAACTTAGGATCCTTTGTTTTTGAATTAAACCTTGGTAATCACTCTTTGGGTTAATCCTTAATTACCATGAGTTTTATTTATTAATTGTGTTTAGTGAAGTTAGATTTCTATAGAGAAGGATGAAAGAAGGGAGAAGAAGGGAGGAGGAAGCCCTGGAAGACTGAGATGAGTCGCATTGGTCGGCTCAGGTAGGATCATATGTTGGTAGGACTAAACACCTTTAAAGTAACCAAATAATATTGATAGCGACGATGGGGATGGCCTATTGTTGTGAATTGACAAAGATATTTATATCGATGTGGCCACTCCCAAATGAGCTAACTCAACTCTATAACTCCATTTTCAAGAAGTTCAACATCTACAACAATAACACTATCAACAAGGGCAAGTTCAAGTCACAAATGAAGAAGATCATGCTCGCCATCACCTATGACCTTATCTCTTCTCCCATCCAGACGGCTCTAAAAGACAATAGTTAGAGTTTCTTTCAAAAAATTACAAATCTTGAAGCTTCCAAGATAAATCAAACTCGAGCTTCAATTTATGATCTTAAATCCTTCCTAACTAAGCTTGAGTTGGTGTTGTCAGCAAGAGAGGGGGGTTTTGAAGGAGAGATTGCGATGAATGAAAGAAGAGAGTGCTTGGAGGAAAATAGGTCATTTTCTTTACCATGTTATCTATAGAGAAGGATATAAGGATCCTGGAACTTCACACTAATTTTAGCAATTGGTGAAATTTTAAAGTCATTATAATTGTTGTGAGATGCTTGGAAGTAATTTTTCCTGCTATAGTTATAAATGATACGACTAAAAAAACTTTAATATGAAGTCGTTTACTTACAATATCATAGCTTTCTATATGCATGTATGTCAATAATTTGAAATAAAAGTAGTTTTTCACTTGACATGAATTATTTATTTAAAAAAATACATTTTTAATTTGCATGCATTAAATAAAATGTAAAAAAAACAGTTTTCCCTTGTCACGAATTGTAAATGGTGCGTGCAGCTGGTGCAAGTTTGATATTTTAAAATGATTACATTGATGATATTAATATTAATATTCTAATTGCTTCTAATGGAAAAACATTAATGTACAATACCCAAATCCGACATCAACACACACAGCATTGAAGCACCGTTCAAATCTCAATACTGGGTCAAGCTAGCTACATCAACTCTTGACTGGGAAATATACATCACCAAGTTCAAAAAGCGAGGACTTGTTAAGTTGTGTACCTATTATGTAACTAAATGATGAAGAGTTGCAGCGCATCTTGATCACAAAATCCAATCAGATAGATCCACACCAATTCGGGCCTGCATGCAAGAGATCGATCCTGTTCTGGATCCAGGCTTATGTGCGAAATTCCACGCTGTTATATCAACTAGTAGCTATATTCGACCAGCTGAGCAAAAAATAGGGGATCTTGTGACATCTCTTGCTCCAAGGATTTCTGTTTAGTTTCGGTCGCTAGGCTTAATTCTTCTCTTCTGTTTGTTGACTCTTTTTTTTACATGTCTTTTTGTATAGCCACCTTTAGTATGTAATTATTGACTTATCATTAATAAAATCATTTGATTTTTTTATCGGAAAAAATGTACAAGAAGCAAAATAACTGTTTTGCAACTGGATATTTTGGGCTCTATCTTTTCAGGCCATTGGATAGTTTGGCTCTGTGAAACGAGGCAAGTGGCCGGGGACAAGATCCTATATTTAGTGAGCTTCAGAGAAACTAAGTGATAAAGAACCTGTTCATCAAATTTAAAAAAAGCATTTACCCAAAAAAATATATGAGAAAATTATTTTCAAATTCTGTACAAACAATCTAAATGCATAAAAGTCCTATGATCAATAAGCATTGGTCCTAGTAAACTAGATTATATATAGTTGTTTAAACATAAGATCTCGAGTTTGAGTTTGAATATAAAAAAAATATTTTTAAAGGGATTACTTTTAATTGGGTTAGATAATATTGAATGTGATCAGTAAATTAACAATATTTAAAAAAGTCCTATAAAATTAACAAAATTACTATGAAGTGCCATGTACTTTACTTAAATTATTAATAAAAAAAAAGCAGGAAGAAAAACTAATTTTAATAAGAGGATGAGGTTTAGGAGGATAAACGAGAGAGATTCAGTAATTGAGGGAGTGATGGAGAGGCCACTTTTGTACAATCATTCATTTATCAATATCATGCTCTCCAACTAAGCTCCTCCTCTCCCATTCCTTCCCACCCTTCTCCTCCTGGGTCCCAACATTGTTAATCTGGATCATGATATATACAATTGATAGTGATGACTTTTAGGACCCATAAAGCCAAAGTATATGTGTATCCTTATCCTTTTGCATGCGCTGATAGTAGACAATTATCTCTCATTTCTGACGAGAAATAATTAACCAAACTAAATAATCGAAGTACATACATACATACATTCAGAACCGGTATGCATATATATGAAAGCGTGCATATATGGAAGTATGAATGAAGCAGTGGAATACTGGAGTGGTGGAAAGTTCAAAAGAGTACTTATGAGGGTGGGAGAAAGGAAGGTGGGAGGAATCGGTTATTTGTCATTTCTCTGCATTATTCTATCATTGTTTGATTAATAAATGACAATGAGATCATCATCATCATCATCATCAGAATATGTAGTCAAGATAGTTTAAATCATTGTGTCGTAGAAAATAGTTCCCACTATTTATTACATGCACTGCACTCTTGTGCTGTGTACCCATGGTTTTTGCCAACCTCCATGTAGTTTCCCATTCCTCATTTACATACAAATGAAGGCGCGCCTGCCTCCATTCAAAAATTGGTGTGTTGGTTCAATTTTGAAAGCAGGCAATGCAATAGGTGCTTTTCGTCGTGATTATAAATTTACTCAACTTGTCATGCTAGTGTCCATGTCTTTTACATTTAGATTTGTTTACACCAAGAGAGGGACATGTGCAGCCCCCTCTTGGAAAAAGAAAAAAAATTACAAACGCACCTCTCCATTTGAAAAAATATATATAAATAATGAATAACATGTGCTTTTTAAAAATACTTGAATCACATCCAAATGAGAGTTGACATGTTTAAGTATAAAATATAGTCCCTGCAAGAGTTTAAAATAAAGTTTAATTATAATTCAAATCAAGACCAACCCACTAACAAGGTGGGGATTAGGTTTAAGAAAAGGAATTAGTTTCTTAAAATGTGTTAAATCAATATTTAAATTTTTATTTATATTTAGTGTTGAACTATGCTTTAAAATAGAATTGTTTTTAATAAGAAGATACCTAAAAGTAATAAAAAAAGTTAAAATTAACCCATGTTTTGGGAAAACTTTCATTACAATAATATCATTAATGTTAGTGTAAATTCTATAACAAATTGTGAATAATATAACTTATTCCTAATGCATTTTATGTAAATATGTATAGTTAGTAATAAAAATAAAAGGAATGTAGTGTTAGAGAGAGGCTCTAAGAATTTCTAATGGCCATATAATTTAAGTGTGGTCCTATATAAGTGGAAGGTCACAAGCTTGATCTTATTTATAATCTCAAAAGTTATTACCTACCTTTCTAATTCATGGAAAAAAAGAGAGAGGCTAAGAAATTTAAATACTTAAAATGTAACTAAAAAAATATAAAACAACTCACAAGATTGAGATAAACGTTTCATTTTGAATGGTGTGGATTGAGATTTATATATCCTACACATTCCAAATCCAAAGAATGTGCACTGACAATTGGGAACGCTCACCTTGCATAAGGACCCAAATCATTCTATAGAGTGATCCGTTGTTTTCCCATTTGGTTGCTTCTTCTTATAACGGAATTTCCCACCGCACAAATCCCTCACCCTCGCCAAGCACAATCAGGGGTAGAATGGTAAATTCGGAAAAGCCTGCCCTGTTTATATATGCCAAGGGGGCTTGATCTAAGACTCGCCCATCTACAAAGCACAAACACGTTCCTTTTCTCTCGTTCTCTGTTTTCAAATGGAGGAGTCAGGCCACAAGGAGCTTCAGCTTCTACCTTCATCTCTCATGGCGTCGTCCGATTCTCCTTTCTTACAATTCCGATCCGCGCTGTCGACGTCGTCGTCGTCGTCGTCCTCTACTGAAGGTGCGCCGCGCACGCCCTCACTGGACTTACAGTTGTCAATCAGCCTAAGGCCAATACAGCCGCCTCCGGATTGCGAATACAAGTGCGGCGACAGCGGTAGTGGATTGAGCGTAGAGGCGATGAAGTGGCAATCGGCGGAGCAGATTCGTCTGGCGGCGATGGAGAAGGCGTACGCGGAGAGAGTGAGGGAGCTGACGAGGAGGGAGATAGAGATGGCGCAGTCGGAGTTCACACGTGCGAGGCACGTGTGGGAGAGAGCGAGGGAGGAGGTGCAGAGAGCCGAGAGAATGAAAGAGAGAGCCACCGTTAATCACATTGGCTCTTCGTGCATGGAGATCACCTGCCAATCTTGCAGGCGAAGGTTCAGGCCTTGAAATTACTCTTTGCTCGCTTCAACCTCCGTTCACAACTTCTACTGATCAATTCAGCAGTGCTTGATTTGAATTAAATACAAATGAGTGTTCACTTGCTGACTTTAAATTTTGCTTGCTTTCCATTTCTCTTGAATACAAGAACATCATATAATATTTATTAAGCAATAAACATAGCTCCGAGTCAAGAACAAGGAAAAAGTTTACCAGCGTAGCATTGAAATCTGTGCCAACCTGACTGTTTAACCGATTAGCCATTTACTTAGTGCTTTAACTGGTTTCATGAAATATTTTGTTTATAAGCAATCTGATCGTGACATACCTTGGTTTATAATTTCGGCCAATTGATGAACAAACTACAAAGTTATGATATGGATTAATGGATTACGCATACAAAATAAAGAATTGAGCAACCGTTAGAAACCTTGATTTATATTTTTCACATGCTTATATGGAGGGGGCTTCATTTTAATTTGCAACTAATTTAGATTCCATAGGACAGACAATTGAACACAGAATAGTGGGACACCAACTCTTGCAATGCTTATCCCCAGCGTCTAACCGGCTAGTACGTGGAGCAGACTATATTGAAGCTGATAAAGAATAATGCACAAACAGATTTTGATAAAACAAGGTCAAGTGGGGGAGTTAGATGCCTTACAGTACAAATGAATCACAACAAAAAGCATAGTAGCACAAATAAAAAGACATGATATATATAGCTGTATCCACTTGTATTTAACCTCTTTTGCTCATCACAAAACCAAGCATGTCCAAATCATTGTCGGGGTTCCAAGTAGAAATTAAAGTTACATATTTTTTTTGAAGGGGACGGAAGGGATTACCGACTAAATGTATCAATCCGATCAGCAGTGAACAGTAGGTTATAGGTATATAGTGCTGCTTTTTCAAAGATGTTGCCAGAATGGAGTTAGCTTGTTCTGTCCGCAACCTCTAAACATAATAGTACTCAGATTCAGATTATGGGTCAAGAGGGTGGCTAAATAATTCACTCACTTTGATTCTATTATCAACCTCAAAATGATGATATCAAGTTGCCATATTTCATTGACTTCTTGAAAGCAACATTCCACGAACCCCATGGCAGGCTCGTTGAATTATAAGTTCTCAGTCCTAAATTTAGAACATTTTTTTAAAAAAAAAAATTATAACTTTTGGGTTTTAAATTTATTCTCAATTATGTTATTGATTCAATTCTTAACTTTGACTCAATAATATAATTTAGCCCCTATAATTTTTTAATCTATTAAATTATGAGGATCGAGTTGTATTGAGTTAAAGATCAAGGATTAAATCAATAATTTAAAACTTATATTATTCCATTTTTAATAGAAAAATCCAATGATGAGAACATCTAAATATTACTTCTTATTTTGCTTGGTCTTTGCATCATATAATACAGGTTCTTCTTAAGAAGCGATCTTTTCAACTCTGAGTGCATTGCAGCTGGTGAATGTCTGTAACAGCCTTCCGCTCACTCCGCCCACCCGAGGTCTTTTGCGGCGCTGGACACTTTCCCCCCAGGTCCTACAACAGGGCGACCCCACCCCTTATGGTGAGCATCAGGAGACAAAGTTTTTCCCGCAGTAGTGTGCAGGATTATTCCCCTTGCGGAGAGCCTCCCCAGGTTCGATCCTCCAACCTCTCCTACATAACAAAGTTGAGGCTGAACCTGGACTCAGTGGTACCAGGTTCAACCTCAACTTTGTTATGTAGGAGAGGTTGGAGGATCGAACCTGGGGAGGCTCTCCGCAAGGGGAATAATCCTGCACACTACTGCGGGGAAGCCTTTGTCTCCTGATGCTCACCGTAAGAGGTGGGATCGCCCTATTGTGGGGCTTGAGGGGAGAGTGTCTAGCGCCGCAAAAGACCTCGGGTGGGCGGGGTGAGCGGAGGGCTGTTATATAATAGCCATCTGGCGAAGTCTGGTACCATTGAGTCAACTTAACTCAATGGTACCAGACTTCGCCTCAACTTCGTTAAGGTGGTAGAGGTTGGAGGTTCGAGTTTGGGGAAGTTTCAAAAGACCCCCGTGAGGGTGGGGTGAGGAATAACCACTGTACCACCAGTGGGAAAGTCGGCAATTGTGTGGTGATATGTGTGTTGTCCAGCGTTGGGAAAAGACCCTGGAGAGGCAGTGGTGACCCAGAGGGCTGTTATAATGTCCCTCTTAGCAACAGTAACTGATGAATTGAAGAAATATTAATGAACTCAATTTTATATTCAAATTACATACATAGCTGAACTTCGTTTAAAGAACCGTTATGTGATTCTCAAGTTATAGAAATTATTCCTGCTCCTTGGGACGACTTAGTGAAGACTACAAGGTAAAAATTAAAATCAGAGTCAAAACTCAAAAACCAGTACTTTTAGGTCATTCCTCTGTAAATGCCACACGCTGACCCCACTAATTTCTTTACTGTAAATTCGGAAGTAATTTTCGTCACAATCAGATGGTTTGTTTGCCAGCGCTTCAACTTTGTTTAAATGAGATTGAAAAATCAGTAAGAAAAAGATAGGTGAAAAAGAGCACTACGTCTCATGAGTCATGAGATATTATGAGTGTACTTTGTCAACTTAAGTTCACTTGTGGTGGTGTTCTAATAAAGTATTCAATAAGCTAATTACTGCAAGTTTTAGCTTGAACCACCAAATTAATTAAACAACAATGGTTTTTGAAATTCAACTTCGTTACCGCGGTTACCTTTATCATGATAATCGTACTCCGTCCGACATGTGGAAAAGTTGATCGCAGTGACATTATCTTCTATCTTTTATTGGGTTTCAATCATAGAAACGAAATGACGATCAATTACTTTCGGAAAATAGAGAGATCATGATAAAGATGCACGGCCTTTTCGCCCAGACGTCAATGGTCATCATGACAGAACCTTAACTTCTTTTGTCCTTTTCAGGTTGTCCTTGCATGAACGGATAGATCGAGCAACACTGTTCCTTAATGAGATCTTGGAGCTAGCACAGTCCTGTATCTGAAGCTTACATGCATGCATGGGTCATTATGTAGTTCAATACAGTGATTTTTTCTTTCTTTCTATCATAAAATGAGATAACCTGCTTTTATTCATGGAGGCTTAACTACAAGACAGTCCACATTGAACAAGTATTCAACGTTGGATTTTGGGAAGGAGAGACCAGAAAATGGTGGGAATGTTGACTCTGTTGAGAATTCAAGTTGAGTTTGTTAGGTAATATATTTCTTTGTATTTATGATCAGATCCTGCCTGGCCAAAACTATGGTAGAGTCACACCATGTCAGATTTTGCATGAGGATGCTTTATTTATGAAATCAATTAATCAATGAAGAAAGAGGCAGGCAAAGAGTTCCATACATACATGCATACATATTCTGCAGGCACATAAGTGTTCTGGCCCAAACTAGCATGGCATGTTTTTCCAGATCTGTGAGCTTTATAAGCTTCATTCCAAGAAGACTTTTTCTCTCTTGTGGTGATGCTTTGAGTAATTTTAGTGGTGATGCAGATAGCAGGTAGAAAAACACCTTGAATGATGCAGCAATCAGCATGCCCTTCGTCTGCATATTTACTGCTGCACATGATCATGTGTCCATCACACAACGAAGCCAGCTGAAGAAGACTAGATAAGGATAATGAATTGGTAGCTATATAAAATTACAGGGGGAGTTGCTGAAAAGGACCCAGACATAAATTTGTTTGAGAAATAGGCCCATTAACTCAATTCCCCTTTTTCTTTTTTAAAAATTTTTTATTTAGAAAATGCCCCCTCGTTCGGTTTCGCCTATCCTGTGTCCTCCCTCCCTCGATATTTTCTTTCTTCTCTCTGTCTCAGTACCCTCAGACAACGCGTCCCCAATTAAAACCCTCGTCCCCCTGTAATCGAATCGACATCTGGTCTCCTCAAGTGTCCTTCGCAGGTCGCGTGGAGCTCGGCCGGAGATCCCTCACTCAGTCCCTCTCTGTCGCAGATTCGCTGTGTCGCTCGACTCCCTCCGTTCCTCGATTCAGTCAGCGCGCGCTTCAGGCTTCAGGTTCAGGTTCTTCCTTGCTTTCTGTTTTTTGTTGTTGGATTTTTTCTGCAATTTGTGAGAACACATTACAATTTACACATCTGTATGTATCTGCTCTGTTCTTTCTCTCGTAAATTTGTGAACCTCTGTTCTTCCTCTCGCCAAATTTGTGAATTATCTTTAGGAGCATTCCTTCGTGGAGGCTAAAATGAGAAAGTTATTGAAGATTTAAATTCTGTTAACTTTATTTAGATTTTAGATTGAAGAATAATTATTGTATTGGAAATCGGATATTTTAAGTGGATATATAACAATTAAGAGGAGTGCAATTCACTAGGCTAATTCCTGGAAATTTTTGTCTGGCGAGCGGTATATGGCCCCATTGCTGTTTAAATTTTAGTCTTCTAGAGGGAAAAAAGCCAGGGAAAGGTGCATTTTGGCGCGCTAGCCCGGGAAATTCCAACATTATATTATTATATCGAACCCATTCGATAACAAATGCATAACAAATGCAACCTGTTATATATATATATATATATATAAAGAAGCTATTGTATTTTGATAAATCGTCACGAAAAATTCGCGCGCCGTCACTGGAGATCTTGATCTCTGGTCATCGCAACCAGTCGATGGTGGCGGCTGTAGCGTGGACGATGAGATAATTTTTAAATTTTTAAAAAGTAGTTTAACAAAAATAATGATAATAAAATCTTTTTAAAATATATAAATAATAATTTAATATCTCAAAATACATAATTTTTAAAAATTTTTCTATCATTAATGAATTTATATAAATTATTAAATTATTTTAATTAAAAATAATAATTTATAACTTTTTTTTATATTTATAACTTTTTTTTCACATTCACAACAATGCAAAATAAGTAAGAAATTTAATGTATGAAATTGTGATTTATTGTTACACTATTATAAATTTAAAAAAAATTGTAAATATAAAAAAAAATTATAAATTATTTATTTTTAATGAAGATAATTTAATAATTTATATAAATTTATTAATAATAAAAAAGTCTTAATAAGTTTTAAAAAAATTATAATATTTTGAGCGATCAAATTATTATTTATATATTTAAAAAAATTATTATCATTTTTTTAACAAGGTGATAAAAAAAAGAGTTTTTTAATAAATGTACATACAAATTAATTATAATCAAAATTCATGGGATTTTATTGTCCTTGTTGCATTTTATGAGACTTTTTGTGAACTAGAATCCATATATGAGATCTTTTATGTGATTTTTCAAATTTTATAAAAATAATTTTATTATTTTCTGTAATATAAAATTATTTTAACAATAATATTACTTATTTTAATTTTAATTAAATTAATAAAAACAAACTAACAGTAACAGCATATGCTTCTTTGGGCCAAAGAAGGTTCCCCCGGGTCGGGTCGAGTTCCGCCCCCGTCTCGTCCTGCAAGAGGTAGCGGAACCATTTTTCTTCGTCGACATTGCATTGCCATTCCGCACTTGGTCGCTCGCCGTTGGACGCCGTCCATCGTTGTCAGCCCTACGTGGTTGTTGAGTAGTTCTCTGGCAAGCATTGGAGTGGTTTTAAACCTTAGTCTACTCCCAGAATCCGGTGAGATTGATTTGTCCAATCTGGTTTTGAATCTATATTTGAATTTTTTCCTGGCGTCATCTGTTCCCTGCGTGGTTGTCAACCGCATTGTTTCTTGCTTTGTTTTAAATTTTTCATTTTAATTTGACTATGAATCTTGTAGTGTAATCGTTTTCATCAAGCTTGATTGTGCTTCTGTTAATAAAATATTCTTCTTCTTTTGAAGCAGGAGGCTGCGCTTTGAAAACAAGAAGTAGAACTCCACGTTCTTGGAGTGTGAAGACAGGCAAGACCAGAATTGAGTTACGTTTAAAGGATCCCAAGAAAGCTAGTTGAGGACGAAACTGAGCAGAGGGGATACTTTGAGTGATCATGCAAAGGAGAGGCAAGAGCTTCTCACTAGGAGACTAGAGAGAAGCTAGAGCTCCACACTCCTCAAAATTTGTGCTAGAATTATCTGCTTCATCAATTTTGTTTCTTTCGGTTTTCTTTTTGCACGATTTTCTGCAAACCGGGGAACAGTCCTCTTCAATTATATTTCATGCTCTCATTTCGTTCTTGCTTCTCTCCCCCATTCTTTCACCCCGTCAAGTCTCTCTTTCGTCTCGAATTTTCTCTCACACCCCCTAAAACTTTCTTGTTCAAGCCCATCTTCCTTTCAGCTCATAATCGCTGTGGCAACATGTCGTCACGACCGTCTGCCTTTGATGCTCTCATGTCTGGGGCTCGTGCCGCTGCCAAGAAAAAGCCCCAATCATCATCGCCCGGGAAACGAAAAGCCCCGGATTCTAATTCAACCCAAAACCCTAAAACCCTCAAATGCACGGAAAGTACTGGTCAGTCTTTGGAACCCAGTAACGATACTAAGTCCACTGACATTAAAGATTCCGAGAAGGCACAAGAACCGACCAAAGAACACTTGAGCAACGGGGGGCTGACAGGGTCTGAGGGTGCACTTGCGGCGAAGAGAATGCGCGTCGTTGGTTCCCAGGAGAAGATTACAGAGCTGAAGAAAAAAGTTTCTCTTTTGAAGAAGAAACCTACAGATTTTGACCCTAGTTCCATGTCTTGTTGGGAGAAGGGTGAACCTGTGCCCTTTCTGTTTCTCGGTTTGGCATTTGATATGATTGCAGAAGAAACAGGACGCATTGTGATTACAGATATAGTGTGCAATATGCTGAGGACTGTTATGAACACTACACCCGAGGATCTGGTGGCTGTTGTTTATCTTTCCGCAAATAAGATTGCCACTGCACATGAAGGGTTGGAATTGGGAATAGGGGATGCTTCAATTATCAAGGCGCTTGCAGAGGCATGTGGAAGGACTGAGGTGCAGATAAAAAATCAGTATAAGGTGATACTCATGGGGTTTTAGCTTTTTGCCATACATTTTATAGTTTACACTGCATGAATTCTGCATTGTTGTCGTCTTGTTTTAACATAAATTTTGGATTTTGCTGTTGCTTCTTGTCTGGGATATACGTGTATCTTAAGATGAATACGAACAATTTTTATCCCAGCAAAAGGGAAAGTATGCCCACTGCTTGTTTCATGTTCTTGGCTAGCGATTGAAGGGCCAAAATGTTGGTCCTTTTTCTTTTCCACATATGATAAATACAAGGACTTTCCTTACGTTCGTTGATAATGTTATTATGGAACAGGAGCCTGGAAGTTATAATGGCTTATCCTCTAGTATGCGCACGCATGCAAATGCATTCTGTTAGATTCGGCATCATGGGGCACTTTATGAGACATTAAAATATTGCTTTCCTTAATGTATGAAGTGTAAAGCCTCTTTTGTAGTCTATAATAATTCCTTTTGAAATGAGATTTGATCAAATAAGTTCAAATATCCTGATGGACTTTCTTTTGTCGTTATTATTGGCAGGAAAAAGGTGATTTGGGCCTTGTTGCCAAGGCAAGCCGCTCGTCTCAAGCAATGATGCGGAAACCTGATCCATTAACTATTAGGAAGGTTTTCAACACCTTTCGTCTTATTGCCAAGGTACAATGAATCGATTTTGTATTTTGTATATTTAAAGCACTTCCTCTGAGGGGCTGGGCAGCATGGATTTGAGGTTTCGCTGTTGTAGTTTTTGTAATGGATTGGAGTTTAGTACTGTCTAGAGATGATTTATTTGTCTCAGATAAATCATATTTTGGTCCATTTTAATGATATAATCTGCCGTTCACTTGTTGATTGAAAATGGTCTTAATTTTTATTAAATTTTGAATATGGTGTACCCAATTTTTATATCGCATCTGCAGGAATTTTTTTTTATTGCTTTTCTATGTCACAGGCATTTTTTGTTGTCTGGAAAAGAGTGTGTCTGTATGTGTTATTTGACCTTAAGAATTAGTTTGGTTTGTTGAATACTGAAACGAGACAAGAAAAGAGGAATTTATTGGGAATCAAAACATTTTTTATTGATGACTTAGTGTTGCCATGTGCTAGAGTCTACTACTAATTCGCCCCATATCTCTAAATGTGTACAGGAATCTGGTAAAGACAGCCACGAGAAGAAAAAGAATCACATCAAGGGACTTCTTGTTGCTGCAACTGACTGTGAACCTCAATATCTAATTCGTCTGCTTCAGGTTGCAATCATGGTGTATTTATTGAAATAGTGTGGCCGGCGTTCTTCTCAACATTATTAGTATTAATATTATGATCATTACTATTTGCAGTCAAAGTTGCGGATTGGGTATGCTGAGCAAACTCTCTTAGCTGCACTGGGCCAAGCTGCGGTATACACTGAAGGACATTCTATACCACCTCCTAAAGTTCAGTCCCCCTTAGAGGAGGTAACTTAACGCCCTTGAGTTTTCAAAATATGATATGTAGAGTGAACCTAATGTCTCATTCTCCCTGAGACAGTGGAGAAGGTAATGCTGTTATTTGGTTTAAAAACTTTTGGAGTAAATGGTAGCAGTTTAAGTTGAGTGAGGGGGGAGGATGATTTGTGAGTCCAACTGAAATAGTTTTTGTGTGAAAGTTGAGAGGGAGGGGGGGGGGGGGAGGATGATTTGAGCCCAACTGAAATATGAAATGGGTCTTTGGTGCGAATGCCAGTACTTCTGGGTGAAGATACCAGCCATTTTTCCCTTAGTTGTTCTGCATTTTATAAAACTATGGACATTGATGAATAAAGCTTACTTAAGTTTCTTTTTTATATTGTAAAAAAATTAAAAAACTAATAGTGGCCTGATTTTTACACTAGGCTGCTAATATTGTTAAACAAGTGATGGTTTATGAGTCCAACTGAAATAGGCTTTTTGTATAAAAGCTGAGAGGGGGGAGGATGATTATGAGTTCAACTGGAATATGTCTTTGGTGTGAATGCCTGTGCTTCCTAGTGAAGATACCAGCCATTTTTTCCTTACTTGTTCTGCCTTTTATGAGATTATGGACAGTAATGAATAATGATTGAGTGGGATAAAGGCTTGTTGTTGTTGTTGTTGTAATGAATAATGATTGACTAAATTTCTTATTTATTTTGTAAAAAATAATAATTAACAATTGATATCGTGATTTGATTTTGCATCAGGCTGCAAAGATTGTTAAACAAGTATATTCAGTTCTTCCTGTGTATGACAAAATAATTCCTGCATTGCTTAGTGGTGGTGTATGGAAACTTCCAGAGACATGTCACTTTACTCTTGGTGTTCCAGTTGGACCTATGTTGTCTAAAGCAACTAAGGGTGTATCTGAAGTTCTAAATAAATTCCAGGATGCAGAGTTTACTTGTGAATACAAATATGATGGAGAGCGTGCCCAGGTGATATGGTTTGGTCAAACCCACCTCCAGAAATATACTGCTCATGATATTTATTACTGTAACAACAGCTTTGTTGAAACAGGTACATTACATGGACAATGGATCAGTTGAGATTTACAGTAGAAATGCTGAACGGAATACGGGAAAGTTTCCTGATGTTGTTGCTGCTATTTCAAGGTAAATTTGAATCATTATATTTGAGGCATGGCATCTTTTTGTCTTTGTAATCAAGACTTCCTTAAGATCAGGAAATCAAATACAGAGAAATTCACTGTTTTGAGATTTTCGCTTCATTTTGTGATAAGCACACCAGGTTCTTCCCAATACTTAAGTCAACTTAGGTTCCTAATATTTGCTGCTGGTCAACAGGGTAAAGAAATCGTCTGTATCATCATTTGTTCTTGATTGTGAACTTGTTGCATATGACCGGGAGAAAAAGAAAATTCTTCCTTTTCAGGTAAGAAATGAAGGAAATAGTTCATGTGATTATAATGAGTTGGTTATGTTTAATAATTATGAATAACAAATCAGTCATGTGCTTAGCAAATTGTCTTGTCTTTTTTACGCTAGTATTTTAGCTATGCTGGCAATGTAGCTGATAAGTTATTGATATATTGCATACAGAGTAATTCTTGTACTTTTATTAAATGCAAAGTGTTATGACAGGTTCTCAGTACCCGAGCTCGCAAAAATGTATCTATGAGTGATATTAAAGTCGATGTATGCATATTTGCATTTGATATCTTGTATCTCAACGGCAAGCCACTACTTCAGGAAAACCTGAAAATTCGGAGAGAGGTACCAGCGTTATCTTCTTTTGCCATTATTTTATGTAAATACTTGAATTAGGAAGTCTTACAATTGTCTGAAGTGCATAAGCTTTACTGAAGCTGCTCTGCTGTTAAAGACAATGTAAAGGTGGACATAGAATTATAAGATTGACTGAGTTGAGGGGGGATATTCAAAATAGGAACAGGATAGTTCCATGTTAAGGCCTAAAGGGGCAGGGTTTCTTGGGGCCATCCTAGAGTACCGTTGCCCACTTATATCCATCGGTTAAATTTCAATATGAATCATTGAGAATCATGGGTTTGTTATGAACTTGTCATGTCCTAGTAGCTGTCGGTTTTATGAGTCAGAATGATATGTTGATTTGCTGATTGTGCTCTTCATTTTATCCCTGCAGCATCTCTATGCCTCTTTTGAGGAAGAACCTGGATTTTTTCAGTTTGCAACAGCAATAACATCAAATGATGTTGAGGAAATACAAAAGTTTCTCGATGCAGCTGTTGATGCTAGGTATCATTCATAGTTACTTGAAAGTCAAGTAGATGGAAAGTTCATCCTTTTATATATTCTGTGAAAGATATTTTGTGGTTGAATTGTTACTATTACTAAAGGCAGTTGATTATGCAATTTATTTGGCCTTTAATATATTTATTGTTATATTTTGGTATTTCCCATTTTGTAGTTGTGAGGGTTTAATTATCAAAACATTGTATGAAGACGCGACGTATGAACCTTCCAAGCGGTCACTGAACTGGCTAAAACTGAAGAAAGATTATCTTGAAAAGTAAGGGATGTGATATTCATTTCCTCTTTCATATGCACTTTATTAATTATTAATATTTTTTTGTTTTATTCACTGGCTCTAATTTTCAGTATAGGGGACTCACTGGATTTGGTACCTATTGCTGCATTTCATGGTCGTGGAAAACGTACAGGTGATCTTTTAGTTTATTCTTTTAATGAGGAGATGCTTGTTGTGTTCTTTCTTTCTCATTTTTAAGAAAGTGGTCTCCAGTGTTCTGCCTCATGTTAAAATGAGGCCAGCCTTGGCTAACCCTTGTACTCTAGTACTTCTGTCGCATGCTTTTCGGTTACAGCTGTAATAAAGGAATTATGGTCATGATGACTACTCTGTAGGGGTCTATGGAGCTTTTCTCCTTGCTTGCTATGACAGCAATAATGAAGAATTTCAAAGCATTTGTAAAATAGGTCAGTTCTATCATTTCAAGTCTCCACCCTTTGTGTATATTAGAATGAGTTCTGCTTCATAACTTAAATGTTATGCTGATTAGGCACGGGATTCTCAGAGGCAACACTTGAAGAACGTTCTGCTAGTCTTCGTACTAAAGTGATTCCGAAACCAAAGGTCTCTGTTTCTCTTGTTCAATCTCTCTGAGCCTGGTTTATTTATGTTGTGATTAATAATGTTTGATGTTTTAAACTCACTTCTTAATTGCAGCCTTATTATCGATATGCAGAGACAATCAATCCTGATGTATGGTTTGAAGCCTCTGAGGTGCATAGTTTTAACTTCGCTTGGTAATCTGCATCTGTTTTCTTAATTCCCTTTCACTTGATGTACTATTCCACACGGTTGTCTGCCTACTTTTTCTGGCATTGTGTGCGCTTGTTTTTAATTTGTTATTGCTCAAGTGAAAGATCTGAAAGCATCTCCATTCTGTGGTTGATGCTACAATGATCTGATTCCACATGATCAAGTTCTCCAATTTGGTGGTATATTGTTTTCTGGTTTCTGAGTCCATGGTGCGTTTTTCCAAACGCTAATCATAATATATGGGATAATGAATGCAGTTTTGTGTTCATCTTTCCTTTTAATTATCTTTGGGACCTTGGATGATGCATTTCATACAATGGCCTTTCTTTTTTATTTTCCTTAATAGACGCCTACTATGGTAATTTAACTATCAGGTATAGGTGAAGGCGACAGAAGTTATGCAATTATATTTACAAATTCTTTTGTTTTAATAATACTGAGAAGAACCCAAGAAGCATGGACATTTACACGACATGGACGCAAACACCAAAGTGGTGATTCAACTAATTTGTCTTGGCACAATTTGAAGCCTTGCTTACTGTTTGATACAAGTTTCAGACATGGACACACAACACGGCATCTTCTATGAAGTTTCCCTTCCATAATAACGAGAAATCTAACACTTCAGGAAGAAATCCATTGGCAAGAGCACTTGAATGCATCTTCATTAATGCAAATCTTTTTGCTATCACTTATGTGCTGTTTTGTTTCTTACAGGTGTGGGAGGTGAAAGCAGCAGACTTGACCATTAGCCCCGTTCACCGTGCTGCAGTAGGCATAGTAGATTCGGATAAGGTACAAACAATGCATTTATAGTAGATTCGTACCTGTTATCATTGGTTGATCATTTACTTGCTTTTACTTTTTATTGATGTCTTTCTTGATAAAGGGCATATCTCTTCGATTCCCTCGTCTGGTTCGAGTTCGGGATGACAAAGCTCCTGAACAAGCCTCATCATCTGAGATGGTAAAGAAAAAACTTCTAATCTGAATAATTATTTATTCATGATGGAAGATTGAAACAAGAGCCATGAATTCTTCAGTCATGTTCGGCTCTTGCCTTAGCTTATTAAGCTAAAGATTTTGACTCATTTTCAGGTTGCTGAAATGTATTCTGCTCAAAAACACAATCACCCGAACAACCACGATGATGAAGAGGATTGAGAGATTTTTCTCGCTCCTCACATACAGGATGACGTTTATCAAAACCCTCAATATCTGATATGCAGATGCAAATTTTGCCCCCTTAAAACATAGGTCAGATAGCAGAATTGCATATCTAATATAAGAGTGAGATCTAGAAGGCTTCAAACATTACTAGGCATGATGTGATGGGGTTTTGTAATTCGTTTTCGGTTCTTCACAGAAATGTACTAATCCCGTTTTAGTGATCAGAGATTCAGGGTGCTTTTCAAGCTGGCCCTTTAATCTTCAGGGAAAAGAAAATATGAACTTTATATAAAGATGAACATGTGAGTGAATTACGCAAGTCAAGAGCTAGTCTTCTTGTTGCAAAAGCGGCAGAGACAAGACGAGAATTGACTGTCTTGCACCTCCCATTAAGGCAGAGGCGAGCTTTTCCTTCAAGCCAAATAGCCCTATATGAGTCCATCCAATAAATTTGAAGTTGTAATTAAGCAGAAATATATGAGTATCGATTAGTAGTAATTGATGGTAAACGATGCTAGTTATAGTGCACAATATAATGATATATATAGAAGAATGAACGCAATAAAACATAAAATGAAGAGTGGACACAAAAGTGGCCTCCCTCTCAAATGACCATGACTTATTTTCCTACTTGTACTTTCGTTTCACATTTACCTAGTATTTAATTAATTCTCATCTTCCAAACCACTTCCCACTTCATTTTCCCCATCCTCAGATGTGTTCCTTATTATTTTTGTTTCTTTTGTAACAAAGACGTTACATGTGACCGACTCTTATTTTTCACGAGGGGTGATTATGCCACAGAGATTTTCTTCTGCTCACGAGCTTATTTAGTTTAGGCCTAAAACGAGTCATGCATGAATGCTGTCGAGTGGAAACAGTAACGCACAATGACTTGAAATTTTAGAATAATAAATTTGCGAGCGTTTTTAACTTGTATATCCTTATTAGATTCAATTTTATCTCATGTAGGACTTTTCACATTTAGTAACATTAGATATGTTAGTTAAAGTTAACTATTATTATATGTCATAGAAAGCTTGAAAGCTTGCGAGTACATGTAACGCACAAAGACAAAAATTATCACTGTTTGACTGTTCCACGTCCAGTGTCATAACAAATAACTCAAGTACTCAACCTTATATGTATTGTTGCAGTCCAACCAAGAACCGAGTAAATCAAGGCTTGCTCAAATTAAGATTTGTGATTATGGAGTAATCAACAGCTTTAATTGGAGAAAAAGAAGGATCGATGGAGATAGAAATTCAATTTCAATATTCTATTGACAACGACCCAACCACAAGATCTCCTCTCTCTCTCTCTCCAACGAGATATTCGCAGAAAGAGCAACACATCACATTACAGAATCAATGACCTCTTTTATGAGAGGGCCTCGATGAAGAATAACAGGAGAGACAATAGATCTATAAAAAATAATAATATAGGTAACATGTAATTTTAGTAATTACTTGCAATTGTATGCGGAATATATTAATTTGTTTATATGTTTGAAAACTTTTTAAGTTGATACTAAATTGATACAATTTATGGATTTGACTGAGTCTTAAACTAGTAGTGTACTAATAAATCATATTATTTTTAGGATGAAAGCCAACTTTAGTTGGAAATTGATTAAATAGGCCCTGTTATTTAGTGTCATCCAATTATGGTAAGATTAGTTAATTAGCCACCAATCAAATTAAGGAAAGGTTCGACAAAAAAAAAAAAAAAGGAAGGGAGTTATTCTTATTCTTAACATTTCATGCGCTAATATATCTTCCAATCGTGCAGTTCCGCTTGGTCATTATTTTATATGTTAGGATGATGCACTTGTTTAGTTCTCTCTCTCTCTGTATATATAATATAAAATGAATTGTTGGGATGACCTTGTCCTTATCTAATGATCTCATTAAGGCATCTTCAAAAGGCATAATGCCTTTCTATGTCTTTAATTAACAAGTCATGATTGTATTCAAGGGAGGATTTAATAATATTTTTAATTCCAGAAGATTGTTATTGGGATTCGTAGTATTTTATTTTGAGAACATTGTTATTGGAATGATGTTGTGGAGTGAGAAATATGAATCCCTTCAAGGCCCAATCAACCGGTTGCTGTTTTCCCGGAAATATACATATGTAGTCTTATTGAATAGTGTTTGCAAAACTTTAATATTCCTAAAGAAACTGGGGAATTATTAGTTCAAGAGTAAACTTTCCATTTTTTAAAAAAAATACTTATTTATAAGCACTTTCATCTAATGCTTAATTTAATCATTTTTCATAATAATTATCAACATGGTAATGTCAGCTATTACAAAGTTGACTGTTAGTAGATTTGAATGAAACCAGAACTCAAATATGAGATTTTTCTTATAAAAAATTTATTTTTGTCAACATATATCCAATCACTGTTAGTGACAACTAATAGCATGTAATCTTATTTATTAAACCATGATGCTTACTGATAATTTCGTCTATATAGTTACATGCACCAGTAAAAACAACATGAAATCATTTCTATCCAAAAAAAAAAAACATGAAAGCATGCATGAAGAACCATTTTTTAGTAACAATTATAGAATCTGTGACAGAGCTAATAGTTGAGATGACACCAATCAAATTAATGTGTGTTTGATGTTAAAAAAAAAAAAAACAAAACAAAACTTACATTGGATACTGAAAGGAAAATAGGAGAAAGGACTCAACGAAATGCTCGGCATAAGAAATTGATTCAGTGGAGCAGTTTTGTTGAAATCAGACATGAGACAATGGGTGTGTTGACATTGCGCCAAAGTTCTGAAGTGGTCATTTTCAAATGTAAATATAAAATTCTGAGTGACGTTGCATTTCCAATTAACAAATGCAGAGTGATGGTGTTGCCATTTGAAACCTTCACCTCTAAAATCTTGCCCTTGATACTTTTAAGAATCAAAACCAAGCTCAATTTTTTTAATCAAACCCCAGAAGATGCACCAAATTTAGGGTTCTGCAGAATCGTTATGTTGAACCACGGTTAAGTCTAGATCACCATATCGTCATTTCTTTGTGACTTGCCCTGTGATCATCAACAGCCTTCGCTGTTGTCTTAGTCGGCATAATCATCTGAGTTTTTAAATTTCCTTATCACGTGTCCATTTCATACACAACTTAGTCAAGGAATTGACATCTTAGTGGGTTTTCCTGGGTCTTCTCATCTCTTCTGATCTAATTTTTCTCTTCATCTCTTAAAACCCCATATGAATCAGTTACATGATCTTTTTGGTGAAGTGGGTTTTCTGATCTTTGCTTCACTGCTTCATCTTTCTTAAACCTTTTCTGCAAAAAGAGGAAGGTTTGGTCTTCTTTTCAAGATTAATTTGTCTCTTCTTCCTAGATTTTCTCTGGTTCCGCACTTTGAGTTACATCTGTCTTATGTTTCTGTGAGTGATATTATATTGAGATATATATAATATATATCACCATGGGAACTAACAGTGAGGAGCAAGTTGTTTCGCACGGAGGATCTGAGGTGAGATCATTTCAGACTATATATGACCATGTTTAATAGATGTTTGTTTTTTGTTCTGCTCCAACGACCACAGCTTTAATTTTTGTTGACTTTGTCTTAGGTTACATATCAAGGCATGGTGGAAGGTGAGATTAAAGAGACGAAGATACCGAATCATCCTGTACAGAAATTGATTGCAGAAAATTCTTCCAAATCTAACAGTATGGTTGTGAAGGTATTTTACCATACCTTACATAGTTTCCACTTTGAAGATATAAACATGTTTACATTTGACTAGTCTTTCTAATTGATCATGGTGGACTTTCTTAGATTCAAGGATCACAAGATGCATTTTTTTTTTCCTTATTTAGTATTATTATCTTTGATTCCCAACTTATGGGCTTAAATCCAAACAGAAACCACATAAGGTGATTCCAGCTCACATCATAGCAGAAGCCATGTCAATAATACGTGATATTGACCTTAGATGGTCTGGTCCTATCACCCAGAAAGAAATAGAATATGTTGAAGAGTATGTTCTGGCAAAATACCCAGAATATGCAGGACTCATTGAAGGTGATGGTATTGATCTGTCTAACTTCATCATCAACGAGGAGCCTTCAGAACCCCTGTCTGATGATCGAAGAAAATCGCCAAGAGGAGGTTTCAGAGAATCTTCTCCACAATTTTTTGGGAGCAACCTTCGTGAATTGGACAGAACCCAATTAGAGCCATCAAGACTGCTGGACATTCTCACCAAGAAGTCCTCATTTCCTGGAAGCTTCATCTCCATCCCAGAAATCCAAGCTCACAACAAGGTCTTGAAGCATTGTGGATTGCCTGATGATGAATACCTCGTACTCTTCATACCTAGTTACAAGGATGCCATGATGTTGGTGGGTGAAAGCTACCCTTTTGTCAAAGGAAGCTATTACATGACCATTCTTAAGGAAGAAGAGGATTACATCAGAGAATTCGCTTCTTTTAAGGAATCCAAGGTGATTCCAGCACCTAAGACATGGTTGGATTTGAGGATCAGTGGGTCCCAGCTGAGCCAGAATTTCAGAAGGAAGTGTAAGATCAGTCCAAAGGGGCTATTCTCTTACCCAGCAGATGTGAATGGGACAATGCATTGGGTTTCAGAAGCTCATAGGAACTCATGGCACGTGCTGCTTGATGCTTCTGCTTTAGTGGTTGGAAAAGATAGGCTTCACCTTGCACTTCACAGGCCTGACTTTGTGGTGTGTAGCCTTGAAAATACTCATTCAAATCCTTCCAGAATCACATGTCTCTTGGTCAGGAAGAAGTCATTTGACACATCTCTTGCTTCATCCCAGGATGGTGATTGAACCCATGATTGTTATCTTCTTGCATGTTGATTATGATGGTCTTTGATGATGTGGCTTAAAAAAAGGGCATGAATTCTGCTTGCCTTACTTTGTAGAATGAACAAAGGGATAATGAAACTTTTGATCCTCAAGTTTACTTGAGTTATCAATTTGGTCATCGAAGTCTAATCTTTATCCATCATGTCCCTAAAGTTTCATACCCATATACGCAATTAGTCCTTATGGTTTAAAGGGGAAATAACATCATGATGACTAATTGTGTATGGTTGTGAAAATTTAAGGACTTGATTGATAAAAATTAAATTTCAAGGGCTAAATTGATAATTAGATCAAACTTGAGTAACAAAAAAAGTTTCATCATCCCTTGAATAAATGAATGAATGAAGCTTAACACACACATACAATGCAGAGATGTGATGGCCACTCTTCTTAAATGTTAGTTGAATTGAAGCGGCTTAGATGTATTAATTAGCTATCCAGGATTGGTACTTGTTGCTAAACCTATGTTTCCAATGACAAGTTTTACCATGACTGAACCCTTCCCCTAGTAGAGATTTCATTCCAAAGTTGTCTCCCTCGCATACAACGATTTTTTTTTTAAATCTGTTTATGGTGAATGCAGTATTTTTTTTTTTTTTGGCTGAATGTTGTAGATTGATTGATTTTTTTTTTTAATTGAAGTTTTGTTGATGGAATGTTCTCGAAGAAAGGGCAATTTTTTCCAGTGACCAAAAATTGGCAGACCAATTAAAAATTAATATTGACCAATTTATATTCTCCATAACTTAAGGAGGAGTCGCATGGAGACTGTAGGGAGTCTACTTCTATCTGAAATTATGGGCCCTATAAAGACAGAGGGAGTAACAAGCAAATCAAACCCATTCGGAATGTAAAATTTTTTATCAATTGAAAAAAAAAAAAAAGGGTTATACTTATATATGAACTCTGGTAATAAAACTTTTAAAACTCTATAATAAATTATCTAAAGTTTTATATTTATGCAAATAATCCACTTACCATTAAATTGTCCATTATTTCACTAAAATAATAGATACCTCAAAGTTTAAAAGGGTTATTTGATTAAAAAAAAAAAGATCAAAGGAGCATTTGGTTAATAATATATTGTCCAGAAGTCCTTATTTAAGAAATTTATTGTCTAAAAGGATCTCACATTTTTTAGGGATCTAGGTCCTGTATAGGAATAAAATGACCAAATTGCCTTTTTGAATAAAAAAAATTAAAAAATTTCATGAAAATGTAAACTGACTAAATTACCCTTTCTAAATAAAAAATAAAAAATCAACGGATATTTTTCATGAAACTGTAGAATGATCAAATTGCCTCAAGTGGCTTAAAATGAAATATATTCATGAAAATTGTTAACTTGCACACATGGAAGACTTTTACCTCTACTGGAAGACAAGTTACATATCATGGAAGATAATTTGCACTTCCCGTCAGATTGCCTTTTTTTGTTAATTATAAAATTATTACATCTTAGAGAAGATATGTTGCATCTATGAAAGATATTTGAAAATTGTGAGAGACACTTGTGCATCTGAAGGAAACATTTTGCATATGACTAAAGATTTTGCATGCACATATAATGACCTTTGTCATTAACCAAACTTAAATTTAAACTCAACTAACTAAACCAATTAGTATAAGTTATTATCAATTGGCTAAGGTTAACTTTAAATAATTGACTTTGAAAACAGTTGGAGTAATGGGATCCAAAACTTATTCAAAAGTGAACCATAAAGTATAAGTCCTTGAAAACGCTTAAAATTAGAGTAGAAAAGATTGTGGAAATATAAAATTAGGTTGAGCACTCAAAACAGGTTTAAAGATGGGTAAAATAGACGTTTCAAAAATTCTGGATACATCCGTCGTAGCTTGCAGCACAGAAGCTACTTATTGTAATCAACAATATGATTCACCACGGCCAACCCAAGCAAAGCAATCCGCCACAACCATAAGTACAATTTGCTAAGGTGCACATCTAAAAACAACATAGTTATGACAATAGGAAATTTAAAATTCCAAACCTACTTTACTGTTCAGACTTCCAATTAAAATGATCCAAGCATCCACTAACAAATAATTAATAGATTTATCTAATGGTCTTGGTTTCATCCCAATTTGGTACCCAGCAAGGATCTTGGAACACTCAATGCCAAACTTAGCATTTATGTTTAAAAAAAGTGTCTCCCTCCACAAGCCATTACAATTATACTCCACATTCATAAAACTCATCTTTGCATAAATTATACTAATATTTATCATCATATATCTAAAAGTATAAATCATCAATCATTTAAACATATTTGCACGGTTAGCCTTTTCTAAAACCATAAGGCCAAACAAACAAATGCTCAAGTCAACAAATATGACTACATGCAAATGATAATTAATCCCTTCAACAAACAAATCCTAGAGTTGGCAAAATATGTATAATCCATTATCATCACTAAGCTGTTAAAGACATTATAACACGGCTTTCTCTTTGCCTTTTGCTTTGTTGTCTCCTAGAAAGATGTTAATGAATGAGAGTGAAATTAAACAATCTTAGTAACTAAATAATTTAATTAAAACATATAAAAGTGTGACATTCATAAAATCAAGCATAAGTATTACACAAGGCAATTCACACATTTATTACAATGCATCATTATGCCACAATCCACATGATGAATGTAATCATCTTATACCATTCCTTATATCATTTAACTAAATCCATTAGTTACTAATTCATATAAGTCTAACTTATGTCATTGGCCTAGTCTTGCTCTCTAATTGTGAGGGGTTACCCAACTAAAGGCTCTCATACTTACTTTGAGACTATGGATTCTCGTTATTTGAATTTTAAGGTGTTATAGTTACCTAACCCACACTGCCCCCATAAATATTAGTGATACTAAGCATCATGCTTGACCCATTTCATACTTGAAGGTTAGTAGCAATACTAAACATGTATATTAGATAAAAATTTGCTAACTAATATGTGCAAACTTAATGAAGGCTATACTATATGAATTTTCCCAATAATACCCTCTATTGTATTAGGGTGAATTCTCATTTATCATGATCATGCAAGTTCATTAAATATATGCCAATATATTCATGCTTCTCAACATTTCATGCAATCACATAAACATGGCATACTCATTTACACAGCTTGAGAACTTGCATGCATTTCATAACAATGCCCAACCATAAAATAAAAAATTGCATGAACACATTATCATTATATGGGCACTTTAACTCATCAAGTCCATAATCATGAAATCATGTGACTTATACAACCACCAATCATAACTTCAATAACAAGAGTCAATTTTCATTGCTCATATATCAACCAATAAGGCATACATATACAAACTCATGATTCCAACATCATATCATGTCATCAATAACAATATAAAATTTCATTTGGCAAGCACAATCATATGCTAAAATTAAATGCCCAATTACCTCAACTCTAAGGTTTATCACCCTACAACTTGGCAAGCTCCATGTGATTACTCTACAAATTGAGGTTAACAAATATCGTTGATGACTAAATGTCATTAATCAATCTTTAGTCACAATTAAAGCCTAATACCCTAAGCATAACTAATCTCAAAGCTCGCTTTCATTAACTTATTTAACTTTCATTAAACTTAATGAACATCACTTACTAGCTCTATTATTTTAAACTAACTTACTTAGCATTAAGGTTAATTGTAAACCTCTCATTAATGACATTCAATGATGCTAACTACCAAAAATTAGGGATAAAACACTTAAATACCTCTTATTATAATGGTTGAACCTTGGTCCTAAGTTTCGACCTTCACTCCCAAATCTTAAGGACAATAGAAAATGTACAAATGGAAGTAGAAGAAGAGTAGATATGACTTATCCAATAATTTAAAAGCTCCAAAGCTACCAAACATGCACCACAACTAAACCCTAGTAGAGCATTGTTTCTTCACACATCCTCACTCTCAAACCTCACTCTTTTTTGCCTATTCAAATTACAAAATTGGGATTTAAAATCCCATAGTATCACAAGTTCACTGTGACAGATGGCTCAAAATAGCCAACATTACTTGAGCCTATTAATTTGAGCTTAAAATTTTAAACATCACATCGCCAACACCACCCGGACCTTGAGAGGATATTTAATTGTGCCATTTGTCTCGGCTTGGGTCTGGGTTTATGGAATTACAAATAGACACTGGGTATGGGCATCTGGGTCTGGATCCACCTTCACAAAACTTGGTATCGAAGTGGCATTGTCAAGATCTCTCTCATCTCGTCAAAGGAACAAAGCCAAACTCACCAACAATTTTAATAGCTTCTGAACTTGCGAGTTACACTTCTATTCGAGGTTGAATTCTTTATCAGGTGACCCTTCTATTTGATTAAGTTTTTAATCCTTTAAATGTTTATGTGACCCTTTTATGTGTCGCACCATTTCTCTGCAAAGTTTAGTTTTATGAGGAAGTATTTTAGTTTCAGCAATTCGTGTAGGTCTTCACTCGGTTCACCAATTCGTGTAGGTCTTTTAGCTTCTCCCGTGATTGCAAGAGTGTGAGTGAACGAAGATCAATGTGGTTGAATTTTTGGTTTTTGTTTGAAAGGATTTTTTTATTTTGTTTGACTCCGAGTTTATAACATAAACAAATAACGGCCAGACATAAAGAAAACTACATAATTAAATGTGGGCTGGATCTAGCCCAATCTATCCTATGCAACAACTCGCATGAAACAAAAGTTAAGCGAACAAATGCAGTGAATTGGGGCATGGGAATTTATGTGCCTTTTGAACTCCTGGATGCTGAATTTAAAAGCTAAAACACGTTTTTTCTTTTAATTATTTCACTTAAAATAAAAAATTGATAACACGCCAGGTAATAATACTTTTATATGATATTCTATATTCTTTTGAACATATATGATAATGAAACTTCTGAGTCATATGCAATTAGTTCCTAGGGTTTAAAGGAAAAATAACACTACAGGGACAAATTGTGTATGATTATAAAATTTTAAAGACTTGATTAATAAAAAATAAAGTGTAAGGATTGAATCAATAATAATTGAGATAGATTTATGAGATTAAAAATTCTATTATTTCTTAAATCTAGAAACGAATGAAGCTTAAACAGTCACATCACATGTGATTGTGACTCCTATGAAGTGGCTTATGTGTATTAATTGGCTGTCTAGTTCTCTGGTACTTGTTGCCAGGCCCTTTGGCTGGATCTATTGCCATGTGGTTCACCCCTATGATGCACATTTACAATATGTGAATTGGTTACAACTTACAACACGCATCTCACACATCAATGCTTTCATTTTAAAAAAAGTATTTCCTCCATTTTTATATATAAAAAAAACAGTATTATATAGTTTAAAAAATTAATTAATCATAATAATTATATTTAAAAATAAAAAATTAAACTAAAATGCCTTATATTAATCAATATGTATTTATTATTTCTCGTTAATATAAATTATAAGAGACGATTTAGAAAATGTGTAATAAATTCTTATTGAAAT